AGAGGTGCTGGGGCACCCCCATCCCAAACTGCCCTGGACACTTGCTCAGACCCCCTCAGCTTCCAGCAGCTCCTGCGATCATCCTCTAAACTCCCTCCCCCATCTCTCTCCCTAACATGCTGCAGCCTCATCGCAGATCTTAAATGCCAGGAGAGGTGCTGGGGCACCCCCATCCCAAACTGCCCTGGACACTTGCTCAGACCCCCTCAGCTTCCAGCAGCTCCTGCGATCATCCTCTAAACTCCCTCCCCCATCTCTCTCCCTAACATGCTGCAGCCTCATCGCAGATCTTAAATGCCAGGGCCCCCTTCTCTGTGCTCTGCTGGAATTACAGACTGGCATTGGCCACCGTGAGCAGACAGGACCAGGGTTAGATGGACCTTTGGTCTGACCCAGCCTGCCCCTTCTTAGATCATCTCTGCATGATCAGCTGGAGATTTAAATGGACAAAGACTTGGAAGCTTGCTTGGGAAGAGCAGGAAATTTGTAAAGATTTTCCTCAGGGTGAAGGACTCACCTCTCATAGAAAGGGGCAGAAGTGTGAAGACAACTGGTTAATTAAACCTGGCACTACCTACCACTCAAGAGTAACTGCTAATGGGCACCCATTTGGGACCACAAAGTAAGGTATAGATCCCGCTAGCTGATCAAAATAGAGGGAATGAACTCTGGTCCTAAAGAATCCAGAATCCAGTGCTGTATTAATCACATCATCAGTTACTCTTGAAACTCATTTTACTTGGGATCCTAATACTCCAAGTCACCCTGTTTGGAGGCAGGGCATCTGCAGATATAGATGCAAATATCCACCACTCATTTTGGTGGGTCCAAATTTTGTATCTAGGCAGGACTCCAGATCTGTGGGGCTGGATACAGGATGCTCTGTGCTGTGCTGACTTCATTGGGGTTCCCCCTATGCTGTTCAGCTTTTGTGGGCCAAAATTGGTGACTATTAGCAGTTACACTTCAGACGGATGGTGGGGTCTTCAAGACATGAGCACGAATGGTGATTTATTTATCACTACTGTACAGGTCAACATTGACCTGATCTTTCTACAGGCACATAGGCAGGTGCCTGGATGCACCTGTTTTTTCTCCATGAGCACTGACCAGAGATATAGGAGAGAGAATTTCAGGGATAGGAAAGGACTGTGGAAATGCTGCTTCCCCATCTTTGGTCCTAGAGAAGTCAAAAAGGAAACAGGCCCCATCTTTCAGAGCCTGGGAAGGAGCAACTCCCAGGCTACGTCTAGACTGGCATGATTTTCCGGAAATGCTTTTAACAGAAAAGTTTTCCGTTAAAAGCATTTTCAGAACAGAGCGTCTAGATTGGCACAGACGCTTTTCCGGAAAAGCACTTTTTGCAGAAAAGCGTCCGTGCCAATCTAGACGCGCTTTTCCGCAAAAAAGCTCCGATCGCCATTTTCGCAGTCGGGGCTTTTTTGCGGTAAACAAATCTGAGCTGTCTACACTGGCCCTTTTGCACAAAAGCTTTGCGCAAAAGGACTTTTGGCCGAACGGGAGCAGCATAGTATTTCCGCAAGAACACTGACAATCTTACATGAGATCATCAGTGCTTTTATGGAAATTCAAGCGGCCAGTGTAGACAGCTGGCAAGTTTTTCCGAAAAAGTGGCTGATTTTTCCGGAAAAACTGGCCAGTCTAGACACAGCCCCAGGATTTGGGTCTGATGAGACCATTCCTGAGTCTATTTGTCTTACAGACCCAGCCCCCTCCCCAGCAAAAGGGAGCAGGTGGCTAACAAAGAATGGGCCATACTGAGTCAGACCAAAGGTCCATCTAGGGAAGTAGTGGAATCTCCATCCCTAGAGGTGTTTAAGTCTTGGCTTCACAAAGCCCTGGCTGGGTTGATTTAGTTGGGATTGGGCCTGCCTTAGGCAGGGGGCTGGACTTAATGACCTTCTGCGGTCTCTTTTAGCTCTATGGTTTTATGATTCTATGATTCATCCAGCCCAGTATCCTATCTGCCCAGAGTGGCCAATACCAGATGCCCCAGAGGGAGGGAACACAATAGGTAATCCTCACGTAATCCCTCCCATCACCCATTTCCAGCCAAACAACGGCTAGGGACACCATTCCGACCTGTCCTGGTTAATAGCCATTGATGGACCTAACCTCCATAAATCTACCTAGCTCTTCTTTTAACCCTGTTAAAACCCTGGTCTTCACGACATCCTCTGGCGAGGAGTTCCACAGGTTGACTGTAATCTCTCTTCCTAAGGGACCCGGTCCAGACCCCTCCTCATTGCTGAGCCCTTGTCCCAATGCCCAGAGATCTCGGCACCCAGGAGGCTGGTGCCCTCCCCCCCGTGCAGCACCCAGGAGGCTGGTGCAATCCCC